TTGTAGCTGGGTGACACTGATGATTAATTTTCTTCTCTGTTAGCATGCAAAGCACCTTCTGGCACCATGGATACTAGTCAATAATGTGAAGCTTCAGCTGAGCACATCTCAGTTTCTTCATGATGTATGACAATAAATTGTGTCTTTAGCAATAAGAGCCCAGATTACCTGAATTTTAATTGGGGTTATGGAGAATAACTAATAGCTTTACAATAGCCTTTGATGGTTGGGGGTAGTTAATGTGACCTCTCTGGGTCCGAGGACTCAGCAAGATATACCTATTAGCATTGGAGGCTTTACTTGGTGGCATATGATGTTTAGTTGGGGCATTGTATCTCCCATTATACAGTGACTCCATTTAAATTCCTTTAACATATGTGTGTATTTTAGTGCGCTTCTACACCAGTAGGTTTTCCAAATTCAATATGTAGGCAGAGTTTCTCTGTGTCTCATAGCTGCTCCCAAATAACCATGCAGAAACTTAATATTAATTATGAGTGCTTGGCCAGTATCTCAGGGCTATTACCAGTTAACTCGTACAACTTAAACTAATCCCTTTATATCTATATTCTGCCATGTGGCATTACCTCTCTTTCATTTTGCACCTCCTGTTTCCTTTCCGTGTCTGGTTGGCAATTCCTCTGACTCTGCCTTTCTTCTTCCCAGTGTCTTTAGTCTGGTTTTCCTGCCTAACCTCATCCTGTTCAACTATTGGTCAGTCAGCTTCCTTATTAAACCAATCACAGTGTAAAGGAATATTCTGTGTTAGTCTTAGTTATCTCTTCCCATATTCTCTTTTTTACCCTTTTCTCCCCTCTCTCTCCTCATTTAATCATGTTCTACTTCCCCCTTTATCTCTTTATAACTGTATACCAATATTCCAAGAAAGGGAAAATAGAGTATGCTACATAACTTAATCCACATGGCTGTAAATCTATGTATGCATATGTAAAAACCCTTTTTCCCCCTGAGCTATCATGGATGGGTACATATTCCTTTTATCTGCTTTGAATTTTTTTTTCATTTCTTCACTCACACACAAGTCTACAGGGAAATCCAGAAGAATATTAGTGTGGAAACGTAAGTTCATTTGAACTGGTGTGGAATAGCTGTCAGGATGCAGAGTGGTTCTTCAGATCTATGAAGGAATAATGGGTGAGTAACCACTATAAACTAGCCCACATCACAGGTTGGGACCCATAGAAATTGAGCTAATGCAAGTCATTATTTGAGATCATGTGTGGCATGCCCCGTGATGGTAGTTCTCACGGTGTGTTATATGATGAAGCTGCTGGTCCTCACTGTGATGAGATTTAAAGGCCTCAGAGCTGTGTTTGTGACCCATGTGGAGCTTTGCATAAAACTTCTAATTGCTTCTTTAATTCCCTCTTAAATATGTTTGCAGTCACTATCTCTCTTCATATTTCTAAATGTGTGTGTCATGTGGATCCTTATCTATGTATGTCCACAGTAGCATTTTATTTTTTGGAGCTTCTTAAAAGTACTGACTCAATGAGGGGCTTTACGGAACCAAACATGAGAACTGACGACAGATATTTGATGCTAAATTAAAATGAATATTATAAATATTAAGTAGATTTAGTGTTCACTTAATGTCCTTAAGTTTCTGCATTTTTCAGATTTTAGAGAGCAAGGGCCTCAGTTACCTTGTATTCTTTTCGTTTTCAAAGTCATTGGCCCTCTAATAGATAGTGTATCAGCTTGCAAAAAGAACATCTCCCCACTCTCCCTGCAGCCATATGGCTACAACGTTGCCCGGTACTGCTCTTGTGAGAGTGTGTTTCTTTTATCTGTGAATCCAAGCTGGTTTTTCATCTCACTTTGGCCAGTGGAATAAAACTTCTTTCGTATTCATCTTCAACATTATGTTCCCCATGTTCCCTGTGTTTCCAAGGAAGCCAGAGACATCAATTGTAGGACCTTGCAGTATTCTTTAAGGCAGTAAGTGGTTCTTGAACACTTTGGGAGGGTTGGAAGACCCTTTCACCTGAGTCGCATATCAAATATCCTGCATATTAGATATCTACATTATGATTCATAACACTAGCAAAATTACAGTTATGAAGTAGCAAGAAAAATAATTTTATGATTGGGGGTCACCACAACATGAGTAACTATGTTAAAGGATTGCAGCATTGGTAAGGTTGAGAACCACTACCCTAAGGTAAGGATGAAGGAAAAACCCGTATACACTGGAGAACAGAGCCAGGAGAATACAGATAGCGTGCGGGGCACAGGTGGCCTATCTTTATTTTTTTTCTGTGTTTTGCCAGGAACAAGTGTCAGTGGGAGCTCTCAAGGTATATTAGTTTGAGAAAGTATAAACTTGACAAAATGATCAAGTGTTGAATATAAATTAAAAGCTGTTTTGTGAATTGCAAGACCCTTTCTCCCCTTTCTCTTCACAAATTGTAGATTTTTTTTAAAACCCTGACACCTGAGACTGGGTGTTTCTGTCTCCCAATTCCCACGTCGTTTCTTTTCAGTTTTCTTTTTTGAGGTGTTAGGATAATACCATGCAGTACAGTGAGAATGCAGATGCTCTCTAAGCCTCCAGAGGCTGAGCCGACTGTGGAGTGATTTAGGGGCAACCAGACAATGCTTCATTACCCAGGAAACTGACCCTTCTCCGATCTGCTGTAAATGAGATCTGAAAACTTTCTCCATCCTATTATCTTGTCAATTCCTAGCATCACTTTCTAACAAGAGAGTTGAAATGCATTATAGCTTTGGCCAGAACAAAAAGTAGTTAGGACTTAGTGGACTGTGACTTGGGTTCAAATCCAAATGGGTAATATTTAGCTCATATTATGATTTTTTCATGCAGATCACAATGTTTACATCTTGCAATGACGTCCACATTTCTCTGTGTCAGCGATTCTCATATGGAAAGCACTAGAGAACTGCAAGATGGATCTAAAGGGGTCCTTCTAGATGTCCACCGTCCACCTCTAAACACTGACCCTTTCCAGAATAGAAATTGAAAATTTTCCCTATGAAAATTTCCCTTATGTTATTACTTGCATCCACGGATTTACCACTTTCCTGCAAAGCTTGTGCTAAAAATAACTCTGGCTTCTCTTATTTATGAACTTTATTCATGTATCCACAGAGGATTTCTACCACCCTCTCCCCCTTGGCGTAAGTAGAGATGGCTATACAGAATTGTTCTATATAGAGTCATCTGGTTAGACTGAGTTGCAAAGAAATCACACTGAATACAGTTGGCATGTTTTGTTGGACTATTCATGTGATGGGAGAGAGACACAAAGACAGCTCTAGTTTGCTTTCTTTGCTTGTCTCTCAGGTCTGTCCCATGGCTTTCTGCAATGCTCTGGTGCCTGAATCTTTCCTGCTCTACCAACTTCCTGGGCTTTAGTTCATAAGTTTAGTTAGTAAGGGGTCCATTGCAGCCCTGCTACCCGGCAGTCTTAATGTTCAGTTAGTCTTCTGATGTTTCTGCATTTTTCAGATTCCAGAGAGCGGGGATCTTATTTTCTTAGTTCCCTTGTATTCTTTTCACTTTCACAGTCATTGGCCATCCAATAGACAGTATGGCAGCTTACAAAAAGAACAATTTCCCTGCCCTCCCTCAAGTTACATAACTACAATGTTACCTCCCTTTGCTCTTGTGAGAGGGTGTGTGTTTCTTTTAATCTGTGAGTCCAAGCTCGTCTGTGGTCAGTGGAATAAAACGGGAATGAAGGGTGCTGCTATGTGCTGGGTTCTCTAGAAGCTCTGGGTAGTTTCCTCATCACTCTTAGAAACTTGACATAGGAATACGCTGGGGAGGGGCTTCTGGAGGTTGACATCAGCAATCAGAGGTCCCTGATGAGTCATTCTAGATTAGCCATCTCTTAGCCACCTGGCAGGTGACTGCAAATGTGTGAATGGACTAAACCAAGATGAGTCAGCCCTGACCCAAATCTGCCAGAGAATCCACCAGTCCAGCACAAATTTCCACACTGTGTAGTCATGAGCTCAATAGCCACTGTTCCGGAGCAACATGTTTTAAGTGACCGACTACTATTATGGCTTAATCAGCCATTGTAGATATTATGCTGAGATTATAGTACAAAACATGACTGCCTGACTCTTTCTCAGCAGTTGTAAGTAAGGCATTTTTATGTAGAAATGGATGTAGGTATCACTTTATTCATGAAAATACTTAATGAATAGAATGTTCTAGGTGCCATCTTAGACTGTGGAAATCAAAGGAGACAACACATGTACATCGCCCCTGATATCAGGCAGCCAATTGTATTGAGTAAGTGGAATTTTTTACTTATAAAAGAGACAGACATCAATTACATAATCACCCAGAAGAAATCACAAACTGAGATTCATAAGCAAGGGTATACATTTTTTTAAGGGCAACAACAAAGAGCTAGATTGGATCTCAAAGAGGTCTTACTGGGTACTGTTTGAGCCAAGATAAAAATATGTATGAGTAGGAGGGCTAGTGAATGCAAAGAAAATCATGCAGAAAGGAGCTCATGGCCAAAAATCTCCAGCCTCTGAGGAAATGAATGTTGATTTGCTGTGCCGCATAGCCTCAAGTTTAGTTATAGCAGTCCAGGCACACAACATGACTCCACAGAGCAGACTAGGTGAACAGGTACAATGGATGGGAGGAAGCCATGTCAGAAGTTATTTGGAGAAATTTGAATTGAGATATTTTAATGGACTGTACAAGTGCCGTTTCCTATGATGCAACTAAAAGATGGAAAACTGTTATTAATAATCTTAAGATCTGCAAAATATAATGTTGTGAGTGATGACTAAGGACATTTTATTTTATTTTATTTTTTTTCATTAGGAGAGAATTTTATTTAAAGGTGTCATCTTAAACTGCAAGGATGTCCGTTAAACATCACAATCAAACATGCCAAAGGAGAAGCCATGTTGTCACAATGCCCACTTACCCCCCCCCCACCTTAATCCACCCTTGCTGACCTTCTATATCCTACCCCCTTTTCTTTTCTTTTTATTAAACGAGAGAAAGTAGACAGATATATGTTGGTAAATGCTAACTGTCTGTATTCACATAGAGACACAGTGTAATCTCTGAGCCCAATATACCGAGAAAGGAAAAAAGCTAGAAGTCTATGTACTTCTGCACAGGGGCCTGGCACCCCCCAGCCTCCAGCAGAGCCAAGGGGGCAGGAGGGTTTTCCTTTTTTTCCCACAGAGCACAGTGGTGGTGTTGAATCCGCAGTTTGAGACAACAAAGGATAAAAATGAATTTAGAACAGAATAGTGGAGATTCTTTTCCTGTTGTATTTTGTTCAAGGTATTTCCCCCCAAATAGGTTGAGAACCATGGTGTTGAGAAGAGACCTCAAAAACAGGGCGACTGAGCACAAGAGGGGCTGGGGGGGTAGAGGGAAATGACCGCAACCTGCTCCCAGGGACTGGAGAAAATTAAGAAATAAAAAGAAAATAAAAAAGAGGGCTGGAATCCATCAGTCTTCTGTGCTAGTCATCCTCACCTTCATCCTCCTCCCCTTCCTCCCCTTCATCATCATCTTCATCTTCTTCACCTTCATCTTCATCCCCTTCCTCATCAATATCATCCAAGCCTTCCTCTTCTTCATCATCATCATCTTCTGCCTCTCCTTCTTCATCGTCCATATCAGGAACCAAATAGTACTTCAAGGTGTTTGGCCAAACGCCGTCTCTGACGACCTCTCCTAACTCATCTGCACCTGCATCAGATCGGTCAGTGAACCAGGTAAAGAAGCTCTCCGGCTCTTCATGCTGCCTCTTCCTGCTGGCCTTATTCTGCGTTTGACTTGAGCATTTTGTCAAATCCTTTCCAGACTTCCATTTGATTTCAGTGGACTTTGAAGATGGGTCGCCACTCTCATTCAGATGAAATTCTTTGAAGAAAACTTTATTTTCAAAGTAAGGATTTTCATCAAAATAAAAATCTATTCTGTAACCTGATTTAACGTCTTCAAATTCTGTCACTTCAACTCTGGTCAAGTAATGCAGAGTCTCTTCATCCTCCTCCCCAAGCAGTGCAGACACTTGTGGATGGTTGACAAATGTGGTTACCCAAAAATTTGGGATTTTGGCGATCAATTCTGACCTCTTCTGAAAAAATGGTTGGCGGAGTTTGTTATATTTTTGTTCTACTTTCAAAATTTCCTCACTGGCTTGTTCATTGAGTCTGTCTATTTCATTTTGTACTTCGTCAATGTGTTCAATTGCTTCTTGCTGTTCTTTTTCTCCCTTCGGCAAGCCGGGAGAGGCCGGCTTGTCCTCCAGCTTCGCGGCAGGAGTCGATTTGGGTTTCTTGGACTGAGGCAGGAGTGCAGATTGCCGTTTCGGGGCCATGGCGCAAATTAAGAGGCCAGGAGCCAGAGGCCAGCGGCCCGATGTCCACAGCAGGAAGGAACTCGCAGGAACTGCTAAAGACATTTTATTTTCTTTAATCTTATTTTTTTTTTTTTTTTAGCAACTTCTTGGACTCTATGGTCTAACACAACAGCTGACCTACTTGTACATCAAAATCATTTTAAAAAATGAGAAATTTCTCATGTTCCAGACTGATCTAGAGAATCTGACCCAGTAAATGCATTTTTTTTGATCTACAGAAATCCATATATTTAATTGCCATATATGATGCCTTGGGTTCACAGTGGTTAATTTGCATTGTGAATTAATTGAATATAAAATAGATGTAGGATGTCTTTATTGAGAAATCCCAGGGAAGTTTTGATTAATAGATTCTTTGCAGTTTCCTACTTAGCCGTGTCTCTAGTCTTGAACGTCCCCTTTTAGATAACTCCACTAAATATTTATCGAGAACTTATTATGCAAGGCATCCATTACTCTTTGAATCAGGCATGGTCAAAGAAACTGAGACTCAGTGAGGACAGATGCCATATGAGTTGGCAAAGGTAGCAGGTGAACTGAACTGGGCTCAGCTCCGATCAGTGAGACTGTTCCCGAGACGACATTGTATAGCAGCCAAGTTCTGGATGCACTGGTGTGCACGTGATGTCTTTTCTGGATATACCGTGTGCATGGTGTCTTTTCTAGACACACTGTGTATAGTTTTCCCTCAGTTCACACTGCTCATACAGTTTGGAAGCTGCTAATTCTTTCCTTTTATTTAAGTCTTAACTCTAAGGACCTATTTCTTAAGCTATCCAACTGCTCCAGACCACAATGATGCTTCAGTATTTCTCCCTTGGATTCTTGGGAGCTAGTGTGCATATCATCAATTAGTGGTCCCTGGGGGCATAAGGATCTCTTTGGTGACACTGCGCATTTTTTGAATTTCAAAGTCTTGATAGCTCTTTTGTACCAAGTTGCTGTGGAAATGAGTAATGAGTAATAAGTGCTATAAGAAGAGAAATATGTGAAAGTAGAATGTGGAATATCTGATGAACTTTCAATTTTATTTACTTTTATCTTTGTGTATATAAAAAAACTACATAAGCTGCATGGAACCAAAAATATGAAGATCTGAAATTAGAACATATTTAGGGATTTTTTTTGAAACATCTCTCACATTTCCTTCTTATCTTTGCCTGCTTAGGATGTAAACAGCGAGACTTGGGAAAGTCTCTTCTTGGCTTAAGGACAGTGTCAACACAGATCAAGGATCTATTGTATTTCAAGGAAAATGAATAAAAAATGCCCTATGGTTAAGGAGAAGTGGCTCCTGGTTTTGTTTGTTTGTTTGTTTTGTATTATTAAGGATCAGCAATTTGTGACCTCTGATTCTTTGCTGCCTGTGCCCAGGTGCTGAGACTTTATTGAAAATTATTTAGCTAGCTGCAGATTTTAGTTTTAAACTGCTATTGATTTCATCACATTTTCCAGTTGGCACATTTTGACATGAACCATGGATGGTATTTTGAATTCTTGATGCATTTTATTAAATCTTTAAATCAATTACTACTAATATGATGAGAAATTCAGAGTTTTCAACCACAGGCATTCTACCCAGGACTTCAACTTGACAGCATATGAGATTGGAAAATAGATGAATTGAACTGAACCCAGGTTTTCTGACTCTTAAATCAGGTTTCTTTCCAGGGAACTGCTCTACTTAATAGATAGTAATTTACTTTGATCCTCACAAGTTAAGTGAATTGGAGATCATAACATGAACACTTTGCTTCAAATTCGCATGCTTATGTAACAAGGAAATTTGAGCCAAGAAAGAGGGTTTATATGGTTAGGCTAAGGCTGTACATAAGAGGGACATAAGACCTGGCAAGGGTTGGGAGGATTGGAGTTGTTTCACCTTTAACCCAAATTTGTATATTGGTCCATGCCCACATTCATTCTCTTTTCCTATTAAATTGTATATTTCTTTCTCTGCTCTTCCCTTTCCATTTTACCTTCGTTCTTTATTTCGTTTTTGTGGTGATATTTTATTTGTATGTTAATAAATCAAGTTTGCCTGGAGATCAGAGGTCATAGTCAGCCATAAACAAAAGTCAGGGGGTGGTAGCCCATGACCTTAATCCGATCACATGGCAGGCAGAGTCTCTGTACATTCAAGGACACAGCCAAGTGTGGTGACACACGCCTTTAATTCCAGTACCAACCATAGAGACCTGGAGGTCTGTACAGACAGGCAGTGACGAGGAAGTGTGTGGTGGCTGGGCTAAGACCCAATGAAAAGTTGGAACAGCAAGGCAATAAAGGTGGAGGGTAGACAGGAAGAAGCTGGTTCTCTTTGGAGAAGCTACTGCAGTGTGGTGAGGTAAGGTTAGTTGGTGGCTATCACTATTTTCCTGATCTCTTTGGCTTTCACCCTTATATTTGGCTCTGTTTCTTATGTAATAAGACTGTTTAGAAATTCGTCTACACATTTAAAAAAACCTCATTTTTACTTATTAAATTAATGGATAAACTGTCTTTGTGTATTATATCTTAACAATTAATTCATGCAAACTTCTTTTCCTTCTCGTAGAAGGGAAACATAATCTCATGTTTAAAAAGTTAATGTTTCAGTGGGGTTTGAATATTCTGAGTTGAGTTTTATTTTAATCACTATGAAATCCAGAACATTCTTCATTGTATTAATAGGAAGTCTTATCTGATACACATCAATTTTACTTCTGTTTACATATCCCAAAGAATTGAAAGCATCGTCTCAAATTTTTGTGCACCCTGCTCATAATGGCATCACTTCATTATCACAACAAGGTGGAAGCATCTCAAGCACCCACCGATGAAAGAATGGATAAGCAAATGTTGCATATATACACTGGAATATTAATAAACCCTAAAGAGGAAAGAGTTTCTAATACGATACAGGTGAACCTTGAAAACATTACGCTAAGTGAAATAAATCAGTCACACATAAAAGTGCAGCATAATTCCAAATGTGCAAGGAAACTAGGAAAGTTAATTTCATAAAGACAAAAACTGGAATGATGGCTGCTAGGGATTGAAGGATGGAGTACATTGGGAGTGATGTGAATAGGAGCAGAGTTTGAGTTTTGCAAGATGAACAAGTTTAGAGATGGATAACAGTAATGGTTGCACAGTGACATACATAAATTCAAAACTATTCAGCCCTATGTTTAAAACTGACTAAAATGGGCTGGATGATGGTGGAACACACCTTTAATTCCAGCACTTCAGGAGGCAGGGGTAGGAGGATCTCTGTGAGTTTGAGACCAGCCTGATCTCCAAAGTGAGTTCCAGGACAGCCAGAGCTGTTACACAGAGAAACAAAATTAAAATGGGAGAATTGAAAGTGGCAGGGCTTGTGGGAGCCCTCAGTGACTCCATCTTGTGGCTTGATTCCATCTTGACTTAAGGTCAGAGAGTTCAAGCTTGTTTTTGCTCCTCAAGGTTGAATAACAGAGGTATTTATGCTTGTCTGTTCCTTAAACCATGGTAAGCAAGTCCTTTTGCCCCCTTGTGTGGTATATAAAAAGGCCTTGAGAAATAAAGTTGGGGCTGCTGCAGTATTCACTGAGAGCCCTCCCGATTCTATTTTTGTCTCTGTCTTTCCTTAATCCTCACTCTCTTATTCATGTGCTGTTCGATAGGTTGGCTGGTCCTGACAAGGGCTGTTAAGTAAGATTCCCTAGCAGTCACCTCCCAACAGGCACTCCAGGTTGAATAGCTGTTCATACACTGACACCTTCCTAAGAGCTAAGGAAGCCCTAGAACATTGGTTCTCAACCTGTGGGGTCTTGACCCCTTTGTTGGTCCTACACATCTGTCTTTATACTAACACCATGCTGTCTTTTGTCACTATGGCTCTGCAATATAGTTTGAGGTCAGATATGTAATGCTTCTAGCTCTGTTCTTTCTGTTTAGAATTAGTTTGGTTATTGTGTTTACATATGTACTTTAGAGTTTATTTTTTTTCCTATTTCTGTGAAGAATGGTTTTGGAATTTTTTGGGGATTGTCTTGAATCTATAAGCTGCATCTGGTAGTATAGACATTTTTACAATATTGATACCATCATTCCAGGAAGATAGAAGATCTTCTATGGTCCAGTATCTTCTTTAATTTCTTTTTTTTCCCAGTGTCTTAACATTTTTTTTTCTATAAAAATCTTCACCTCCTTGGTCTTATTTATTTCTAAATTCTGTATTTTTTTTTGAGGCTATTGTGACTGTGACATTTCTCCTGATTTCTTTCTTAGCAAGTTCATTTTTGTGTCCTTCTCCCTTTCTGAAAGTATTTATCAGATCCTGGATCTTTTTGATAGAGTCCATGGGATCTTTTAAGTATAGAATCAGGTCAATTTCAAATAAAGATTGTCTTAGCCACTATTCTATTGCTGTGAAGGAACACCAGGACCATGGCAACTCTTATAATAAAAGAAAGAATTTAATTGGAGCCTTCTTACAGTTTTAGAGGTTTAATTCATTATCATCACCTGCAAACAGACAGTGCTGGAGAAGTAGCTGAATATTTTACATATGAATTGTAGGGTATAAGAAGGAAAAGTCACTGGGCTTGGCTTGAGCTTTTGGAAGCTCAAAGCCCACCTCCAGTGACACAATTCCTCCAACAAGGCCACACCTACTCTAATACAAAGCCACACCTGCCAATCCTTCTCAAGTACTGCCACTCCCTGATTACTAAGTCCTTAACTATATGAGCCTATGGGGGCCACTCTTATTTAAACTGCCACAAAGATAGTTACGTTTCTCCTTTCCAATATTTAGTTCTTCTATATTTTTTCCTCTTGCATTGTCACTCTAGCTAAAACTTTGACCACTATATTGAACAAAAGTGTCTCATGCCTGACTTTAGAGGAAATGGTATCAGTCTTTTAGTGTTGAGTATAATGTTGGCTACAGGTTTGTTTTATGTAACCTCTATCGTGTTGAGGTAGGTTCA